AAGCACTTTCATTGAAAAATGCAACGTTACATCAAAAGTTGTCTTCACCTCTTGTGATCGTCAGCCAAAACCTTCCTTGCAGCTGCATAATTTATCAATTTACTTGCTTTAATCCTTCTACGTGGAGTGTGAATGCCGAAATCCCTGTTTCTTCGCTAGCTTTTAGAGCTGTGGCAAAAGAAGTTTCTCTCAGATAATCTACTAACACCTCATCTTGTTGCTATATGCAGATCTTCTGCCCTGTTGAACTACCTAACTTACTAGTGCAAATGTTCAGGGAAAATTGCTAATTGCTATACATTCTTTGTTTTACTGCACCATAATAGTGTGCAGGAGACACATCTTGTTGAAACGTCATTTCTAAGTTGCCGAATTCATCTGAATTATCTTCCAGAATTTCCAGAGTTAACGGCTCAATTGCGTTTTGTAATTTGGTTTCCCAAAATACCTACTCAAACATACTTTTTCTGGAAATTAAGTATATTTTGACGACAGACGTGAGGATTTGTGTCACCCAATACCTCACATTGTGTGTATTAATATTTCCATTGAGGGAAAAAGTACATTCGTCTCTAAAACAAATTGTTTTTATGTAATCTGGCTGTTGGATAATTTGATTGTGACATATTTTCACAGAATTCTAGTCTTCGGCCGGGGTCATCATCTGAAAGTTGGTGCACAATTTTTAATTTGTATGGATGAACTTTGTTTTTAGCCAACACTCGGTGTACTGTTCTTTGGCAGATTCCACAAATAGCGCAACTTGGCTGTAGAAGAAGTATGGTTCACTACCATTTTTCTGCAATTTAATGTAAATTTTTTTGTCATCACTAATTGTTGGTCGACAAGATTGTTTGGCATCAAACTTCCGAAGAAGAAGAAACTCAAAACATTCGAGAGAAAGATACTGAGAAAAGAATTCAGTGTGGAGCAAGAGAAACATGGAGAATCGGTAGAAACGAAGAGATTAATGAATTGAATGAAGACCACGATACTGTAAGATTTATTAAGTCAGAGACTGGCATGGCTGGGACATGTCCAAAGATAAGAAAATACAAAATCAACAAAGAAAATATTGTAATGGAAGGAAAATGAAAATAAAAGGAAGATCGAGAACGAGATGGTTAGATGATGTGGAAGATGACTTGAAATCTCTCAATATAAGACAATGGAGGAGAAGAGTTTTTGTGACATAGTTCATTTGAATTTTAAGTTGTATTCGGGAATTGTTGTATAAGCTTGTGATATGCTTCTGCTTTGAACAGTGCTATCATGAATTTTCAAATTAAGTATAATTATTATTCTCCGGTATGTCATGGAAAACTTAACAGTCTAAATTAACAACAATAATATTTGACTAGTGACAAAATGTGATTAAAAGTTGTTGTAAGTGTGTACATAAAACAATACCAAAATATTATTGTTAATGATTTAGATTTGTTTAGGTATATTTAAGTAAAGGAGTTATTTTTAAATGCAATTATATAAATTAACTAAGTACAGAGGTACTAAAAAAACCGTAGTTACACTAGACTTGACTAGACTGAAGATTTTATATTTAAATGACGTCGGTTTCGGTTGTCATTTCGAATTGTAAACAAGAAGTTAGTAAAGGTAATGGATTTTAACAAGAGCTATGAGTCATGCCGATTCAGTACACAAGTTTACCTGTTATTTACAAGGTCATAGCTCTTGTCAAAATCCATTACCTTTATTATGTACAACAGTGTAAATCCCGATGCACTTCATCCCCGCCATAGTAAGTGATGTCTCATTGTCATGATACAATCACAAAATCTTTAAGTCGTAGGTCTGTTCCTTCTTAGAATCTTATAGATTTGTAACTTCATTTTTTTTGTATTATTTACTAGGAATTAAATGCCACATAAGAAGTTAAATAGTCGTTGTAAAGATATGGTAGCTTCTTTGATTAGTAGCACTACTTCAACGATCATGGGAAGTACAGAAAGCAATTTACGTCTATTTTATAGATTTTGAGAAGGCGTTTGATAGGGTTTAACATGGTAAGCTGTTTGAATATCTAGAAATGATTGGAATAGATGATAAACTTTTACATCTATATTGGAATCAAGAAGCTTCTATTCTGGTAGACAGCAAAGAAACAGGCAAAATTTGGAGGTGTATACCAATAACTTATACATAAATTACAATTCCTTATAGATCGATTTACTAGAGAAATAGCTGTAATACACGCGTACTAAGCAAATCTATACATACAAAGCAAAGTTACTTGTGGTTAGTAAACAAGATCTCGGCTCTATACAACTAACTGTCTTACAGCTGAGAATTAAGTTCCTAAAATGTTATGTGTATCTTGTATTACTGTATGGATGTGAAACCTGGATTATAAAGGTTAACATGATAAACAAATTAGAAGCCTTCGAGATGTGGGTATATCGTAGAATGCTCAGAATATCATGGGTTCAACACATTTCAAACAGAGAAGTCTTAAACAGAGTCAGGTTAAGGTGAAAGTGACTTAATAAAGATGATAAAAAAAGAGAAACCTCGAATATCTGGGGCATATAATGATACAGGATAATGCAGTTTATACTCAACGGAAAGATCGACGGAAAAAGAGGAATTGGTAGAAAGAAATACTCATGGCTCCGAAACCTTCGTCAATGGACTGGCTTATCAGCAGATGAATTATTACATGCCGCGCAAGATCGAGAACGATATCGGCAAATCGTCATGGAAGCTATCCATGTCTAAAACTTAGGCACGGTACTCAAAGAAGAAGATGTAAGTTATTGATTTTAGATTTTAATTTTTGGAAACTGATGAATAAAGATAATTATCCAAATATTTGGACAATTGTTGCACGTCTCAATGCATTATTTGGATGAACATATTTATGTTAATCTGCATGGTCATTTATAAACGTGATCAAAACAAAACATCGATCGCAATAATTAACAGGCCGACATTTGGAATTGCGTTAAGAGAATTGACGAGCCAAATTTTGAAGAAATTTTTCCATCAATTAAAACATTTTTATTCATTTGTTTTTTAAAATAGATTTTTTTAAGTGTTTTATTTTCGAAAATATTAATATACTGATCATTTTTTCTTTACTTGCTAAACTTTTGTTGTGTATATTTATTTGTTAACATTAATCCATATGCGCACCCTTGACGAAACTGTCATGGAGTACATATTTTGAAATTTCTACGAAATTACATTTTGAACATCATAAACAAAATTTAAAGCTGTGTGCAATAAAGCATTGTATGTTGATAAATAAGCAACATAACATAATCCAATAACATCAACTATTTATCAAAATATATTAAAGCATTTCAAAAATCCTAAAATTGTTCGTCCAAGTTCATAGTCATAGGGATAAAGTTAAACCACACGTGCTCTATATAATATACATTTAAATTTTAATAAACTACTTTGAGTAAACTACCAGCTTTTGGATGTAGACTGAAGAGGACTTTTCAGGCTGTAAGTAACTCATCTCATAATTACATATCTGAAACATTTTACATACTGAGAATATGGGAAATGACGTTAGAGGGTGTGGAAACTACCAGAGATGAATTAGAAAAGGATATAGCAAATTTAAGTTCAAAGCATACGCCAAAGAACACAAATGGATTTGTAGATTAGCAAAAATATAATACAGAATATCAACGCATTTCATATATAAATAATGTTGATTTCAAAAACACAATGCCACAAAGAAGTGCTCTCACTCATCGTAAAAAATCAAGTTTAAAAGTCTACAATAAAACTGGAATATTACACAAATGTCTGGAGATTAGGAATCAAATAAGTATCAAGAATAAATTAATATTCGGATATTCGCAAATAAAGCACAACAGACCTGCTTTTTTAGCCAACAATATTTCAAGAAAATATTTTTATCGAAATGAATCATCGAAATTAATAGAAAACATTGTTTACACACAAATGTGTGGGAGAAAATAAAACCATACAAAAGGCTTTTAATTAACTTTCAATATTATGGTAATATTTCCACAATATTGGTTTTATAACTAGCTAAATTTGTAGGAAAAATAAAGAAAGTGGCGATGGAAACACACTAAAGATCAGAATAGTATTCAAGTGAATTAATTCCAAAAGATGTGATGAATAAAAATTTGCAAAGTTTAGAAGATCAGTCAAAAATGTATCTTAAAGCATAGATACTTATGATTTCGTTACTAATAGACTTATGAATTCAATTAAAAAGTATCAAAACAATGTAGATTAACTCAAAAAATTACATAGGACACCAAAATAAATTGACAATAAAAAGTCCGCTTTTGATATATTGTTTTTCTTCTGGAACAATCTAGAATATTCTGTCTATATTCGTTGATTCTATTGTTAAATTAAAACAAATTTTCATCTACAGTAACAGTGCCGATCTACCGATATGAAGTTTTTTCTGTCTTTCTGTTAAAAACCGGTAATAATACCATTAAAGATAGTACTTAAGGTGAATATAGAGTTTAATTAAAACTAAAAAAGCTATATAATGAAAACAGGAATAAAGCTTTAGATGAGACAAAAACATATTACATATGAAAAATATATAATTTAAAAACTGTTTCTTGGTATTTTTTACACCTTAAAATTACCGTTATTTGCATTTCTTATATGTACTTTTCTTCGCGTTATCCTAGTACTATTGCGTCAGACTACAATATGCGTGCAAAGGTTAATGTAGAATTGCATATATTACTAAATTACGTAGCTTTTACTGATTCCTTAACGTTCCTAATATTAAATTTATCATTTATTTATAAATATTATAATTTCAAAAATATACTTTTTGGTCGAGTCCAGTCCTGTTTTCGATTACAGTAAACATTTAAATTTAGTTTTTCAAGTGTAAATATAAGTATTACAATACACTGTAAAAAGCTGGAAACGATTTCCGGTTTAGACTAAAAATAGCCACGTCCGAAAAACCGGCGAACAAAAATTTCACTAGCAATCAATAAATAAAATATTTTCCTTACCTTTTCAGCCCCTTGTAGAAGAGAAGTATTTCCGTTTTTCTTAGACATTTTTGGCAATAAAATCACAAACACTGAAAACACAGTCTTGTACCTCCAAAAGCTTAATTCAAAATGCTTGGCGGTTGGCGCTGACTACTATTTCTGCGGTGGTTTCAAACCTAGAATAGAATTCGGCGTTCTGTGGTGGGGATGTGTTCTACGATTCTTTGCTGTTGGATTATAACGTTTTTCTGCGCACACTCAAACAGTTTTGATGAGACGTTTCACAACTTCGACGCCGAGAACTTGAGTCAACTGAATGTGTATTTTTGCAAAAAACTTTTTTATAGGTTCTCGGCATGTAAATATTTACTAAGGCAAGGCGCTGATTGGAAAAAATTAGATAGGAAATGATAGAAATTGTTGACAATTACATCAATTGAAAATTACTCTGATGAAGTGCAAGGTTGCTAGGATGTAATGGTACTAAGAACAGAATTAAAAGGGAATTATAAATTAAGTATTTATTATTTCCAATTACGTATACTTATTGTGATTCTTATTGTCATCTTTGTCTATTTTCACCTACTTTCTTTCACCTATCTTCGCCTGTACTATTACTATTTTATCTATACTTAATGAATTTTTCATGTTTGGAACTTATTTACCATATGGGTAAATAGGGACACTGACGAGGGTTGAGCCACTTTTTTGGATGTGTCCGAACTCATCACTTTATCTTCTTCTTGTAGTGCCTATCCGTTTCGGATGTTGGCGACCATCATAGCAATCTGCACTTTACACACTGCTGCTCTAAAAAGATTTGTGGTTGTTGTATTGAACCACGTTCGTAGATTTTTCAGCCAGGAAATCCTTCGCCTTCCTGGTCCCCGTTTTCCTTCTACTTTTCCCTGCAAGATTAGTTGCAGCAGTCCATATCTTTCGCTGTTCCTCATGATGTGACCGAGGTATTCGATTTTAGCTGTTTTTATTGTGGTTAACAGCTCTTTTTCTTTTTTCATTCTCAACAGAACACCCTCATTAGTAACGTGGTCGGTGTACGATATCTTCAGGATGCGACGATAAAGCCACATTTCAAAAGCCTCAATTTTCTTGCAGGTGGCGTCTGTGAGAGTCCATGACTCAACTCCGTACAACAGTATAGGAAAGATATAACATCGTAGTAACCTGATTTTTATGGGCATTGATAAATCATGACATTTGAATAACTTGGCCATTTTTTGAAATGCAGATCTTGCTTTCTCTATTCTACATTTGATTTCTATGGAATGGTCCCAATTTTCATTGACGTTCGTACCAAGGTAGGTGTATGTTTTTACTCTTTCTATTTGTTGACCGTTTACACTGATTTGTTCAAATTGCTGTTCCTTCTTAGAGATCATCATGCATTTTGTTTTCTTGGTGTTTAGTGAAAGTCCGTATCTCTGACTGACCTCTGTGATTCTGTTCATTAACTCCTGGAGGGCTTCAGAGCTGTCAGCAAATACTACCGTGTCGTCCGCGTATCTAATGTTATTGATTAATTCTCCGTTGATTCGAATTCCGGCTTCAACATCACCCACTGCTTCTTGAAAGATTTCCTCAGAGTATATATTAAACAGCAGTGGTGATAGTATACATCCCTGACGGACGCCACGTTTGATTTTGATGTCGTCGGATTCTCCTGCCTCTGTCCGGATAGATGATGTTTGATTCCAGTACAGATTGCTGACAATTCTTAAATCACAAGTGTTTATTCCAATATTGGTTAGTATCTCCATCAGCTTGTCGTGCTTTACTGTATCGAACGCTTTATGGTAGTCAATGAAGCACGCATAAATGTCGCAGTTCACGTCTCTACATCGTTGGAATAGCACTTGTATACTAAAGAGAGCCTCTCTCGTACCCACTGCATTCCGAAAACCAAACTGTGTACGGCTGATTTTTTCTTCGCACAGTCTATATATCCTTTGATGTATGATTTTTAGAAATAATTTTAAAATATGACTCATTAAGCTGATGGTTCGGAAATCACTGCAGGATACGGATTTTGTTTTCTTTGGTAAAGTAATAAAGGTCGACTTAAGCCATGTTCTTGGTATTACTCCGCTTAAGTATATATCATTAAATACCTTTGTTAGGTGTTGAATACCGTCGGTGTTAAATAGTTTTATGAGCTCAGCATATGCATTGTCAGGTCCAGGAGCTTTGCCATCTTTTAGTTGTAATATGGCTTTTTGCACTTCATCTGATGTGATTGGTAAGTGGTCATCACATATGTAAGATGGAGGTTGTTCGGATCTAGTATCATCAAAGAGTTCTTGTATGTATTTTGTCCATATGCGGATTTCTTGATTTTTGTCTGTGATGATATTCCCCTGTTGGTCTCGCAGTTTGTTAGCTGTGTTGGATTTCTGAAGACCAGCTGCTTGTTTCACCTTTTTATGCATGTTAAACGTATCATGTTTTTGTTCTAACAGCTCTATCTCTTCACACTGTGATTTTAACCAATTTTCTTTGGCCTTTCGTATTTCGGTTCTTATTTGTCTCTGAATCTTGTTGTACATTATTTTGTTGTTCTTTGATTTTCTTCTTTCTTCCATAAGTTGCAGTATATTGTCATTCATCCAACTTTTTTTCTTATCTTTCTTTTCTGTAAGATGTTCTTCTCTGATCTTGTTAAATGTTTCACATATATTTTGGAGTGATTCTTCGGCATTATATGTTTGCTCCATATTACTTAGCTTTTCTGAAAGAATCTGTGCGACTGTTTCTTTTACTTTCACTTTATAGCTCCCTATAAAATTATGAGACACTCCGAGATATAGTAAACTGATCACCGGCGTCCTTTGGAGATACGTAAAGTAAACTCATCATCGCAGATAGGTAAACTCATCACCAGCATTTTTGCCCCAAGGCGCTAGTTTCTAATGCGGACGATTGCCAGTTACCTGTTACATTTTTGATTTTATGTGGTAATTTATTAAATTCAGAAATTATTCCTGTCCATTGTCGAATATTGCGCAGCCATGACATTTTTTTACGTCCGAGACCTCTCCTACCCTCTATCTTCCCTTCGAGTATCAGTTGCTGAAAAGTGTATCGTTCTCCTCGTATAATGTGCCCCAAGTATGCAGTCTTCTTACTTTTTACATAATTAAAAAGTTTCCTATCCTGTAAGCCCGCTCTTCTGAGTACTTCCTCATTTCTGACCCTGTCCGTCCATGATATTCTGAGCATTCGACGCAGGCACCACATTTCAAACACTTCAAGTTTGTTAATGGAACTGGCCTTTAACGTCCATGCTTCCATTCCGTACAGGAGAACAGGCCACACGTAACACTTAAGCATCTTGTATCGGAGGTTGAAGTCCAATTTGCGATCAGTCAGAAACTTACGAAGCCTCAAAAAAGCATTTCTGGCTTGTTCAACTCTGCTCTTTATTTCATTCTCGGGGTCCCAACCCTCATTCAGCAAACATCCCAAGTATTTGAATTGCCTGACTTGTTCGATTTCTTCTCCAGAGACATATATATTTGCGTTGGGGTAATCATTTCTACTTATAATCATTGATTTTGTCTTCTTGATATTTATTTTCAAACCCCGAGCTTCACTTGCAAGAGTTAGATCATTTAAAAGGCATTGAAGATCTTCGATGTTATCTGCCACTATGGCTATATCATCGGCATATAATTTTTACAAAGAAAATAGAGTGCCTACTTTAGAACTGATTCGTGAAAAATTGAGAGATTTCCCTGAATATAATTATACATCTTTGGAAACACTGCGCGAGATTTTGATAAGTTGTGGATTTAAATATAAGAAATTAGATAATCGAATGGTAATAATGGAATCTCGGCGTATTGTTGAACTTCGACGAGAGTATTTGAGTAAAATAAAACAGTATCGTAATTCAAACAGAAAGATAATCTATTTAGACGAAACCTGGTTCGATACGCATGATGATGTCAAGTACGGCTGGGTTGACAACACAAACAAGTGTGCGTTAAATACACCGTGTTCACGAGGAAAACGTGTTATTATTCTTCATGCCGGAAGCAAAGATGGTTTTGTATCTAATGCATTGCTATTGTCGGCCAAAAATATAACAAACTCTTCTGCCGATTATCACGAAGATATGACAGCCGGTTTATTTGAAAAGTGGTTTGTTGAACAACTCTTGCCCAATATTCCGCCGAATTCAGTGATTGTTATGGATAATGCTTCGTATCATTCCCGCATATTAAATAAAATACCTAATAATAACACGAAAAAGGACGAAATTTTAAAATTTATGCAACTTAAAAACATTACTGTTCCTAAAAAGATTCCAGTAAAGAAAAAATTAATTAGAATAATCAAAAGTCGGAATTTTAAAAACGAATACGTTACTGACAGCATTTGCAGCAGGCACGGCCATACTCTTTTGCGATTACTCCCATACTATTGCATTTTTAATCCAATTGAAATGGTTTGGGGTACCGTAAAAAAACGATTGCGAAAATATAATCAGTCTCCAACATTAAGCGCAGTGGCCATTGAGAATATTCGAGAAGTAATTATTGGCATTAATAGCGATGTGTGGAAAAATTGCGAAGCTCATGTTGTAAAAATAGAAAACGAATATCCTGTTTTACCGGCAATAGCACCAATAGTTATCCAACCTGGGAACGATTCGACTTCAGAAGACTCTGACGATTCTTTTTAGTCCTTCTAATTAATTTCTTTACATCTATCGCGATGCATCTTGAACACTAGTATTCATTATTATACAGTGTGTCGCATTTAAGATATAGACACCTCTATATATCAGCTATCAAAATACATACAGATTTGAAATTTTGCACAGTCATACATGTTGATAGTGCACATTTTTTTAAGATAATGCGAAGATGCATATTAGGTATCGCATTTTTCGGATTTTCAATCGCGTATATCTCCAAAACTATTAACTTTTGAGAAAAATGACATAGATCTTATTTAGAGTAAAACCTAAAAAATATTTTTTGGAGCACAGAAGGTGATATTTTGAATTTGTTTAAAAAATTGTTTAAACAATTTCTGCCCAAAAATTGAGAAATTTTCCTGAATATAATTATGTAAAAATTAATAAAAATTATATGATTTTTCTTGAAATATGCGTTTGATGAACTGATCCCTTTTCTTAATTTCCACGCCAATGGTCGGCATTGGCATCAAAGAATCTCAAAAGCCGATGCTTGGCAAACTGACATTGGAAAAAGTATACCTGATGTTATTAATAAATATGCCGTTAACTTTAATACCCTTATTAGAGTCTTC